ATCAGTGACACAGCCATACCCGTAGAGACGAGACAGGCGCCACTGTAATGTTAACAGCCCATACATAAACATTTGTTGGCCAGTGGGGTGGTGGGGGCAATCCCAGAAGGGTCTCTTTGGAGCCACCCCACAGCTTACAGGGGAATGTAGTTGCAGTTTCTCTGTCTTAATTGCTTACCAAAGGCAGAAAAAAAGTTAGCCGGGCAGTAAGATAATTAATTTCATTAAAAACGTAACTGTACCCCTTTTAAAGCATCACTTGTAACTCTTAAAACTCTTTAAGAAATTATTTTTTTAAAGCAAGAGTTTAAACAAACTGAAATTAACCATTTAGCTACCAGTAAAATAGAACTTGCAGAACTAGCAGGTTTATGAAAGACTTAGGGAAGCATCACTCTTTTCTTTGCAAAAAATTAATCACAGATGTCTGAAGTAATGGTGCTCACTGAACAGCCAGACTCCTTTGTCTCAGGAATCGGAACGGTACAGCCCAGCCCATCTGGTCACACTTCCAGCAATACACAGGCCGTGGCCAAGCCTCACAGCACATTTCAGCAGCTTCATTCACAACAACTTTAACGAGGAGGCTCAGTTACTTCCTCACCTCCTGGCAGCCCCAGTGTCCCACAGCACAGCAGCGCGGCATCGCTGGGTCTGAGCTGCTCCCACCTCAACTGGGAGCTCCAGGCTTCCTGATAGCGCTTACTAGACATTAAAAAGCTTAGAATTACAAACAGAAGCCAAAGGACATGAGTAAAATAGTTATTTTTCAAAGTTAGAAACCATCAGAAGTGCTTCTTATAGAGAGCTTGAGACAAACTCAGCAGCAGTAACTGAGGAGTGTGCTCTAAAACGACTCTGAACAGAGACTAATGAGATGAATGTGATGATTCCCTGAGCAGGCTGAATGAAATGAACATACCTGAGCCACCTCTGCTTCTGGAGAGACACAACAGATCTTTAATATCCAACACTCCAAAATTAAATTCTGGGACAAGAAAACTGCACCTGCTTATCACAGAATCATAGAGTGGCCTGGGTTGAAAAGGACCATAATGACCACCCAGTTTCAACCCCCTGCTATGTGCAGGGTCACCAACCACTATACTAGACCTAATGCAACATATAAAAAAAGTGAACAAGCAAACCAAAATGTTACTTTCAATACACTTATAATAGTACTGTAAATATTTTATACAGATATTAACACTCACTAATACTGTGTTATTATTTTAACAGTTATATCTGAAGAGTAACTAAAATGTTGAAGGAATGGCCAAATAAAGTGAATTAGAAGGATGTATATTCTGGTGAACTCAGTACATTTCACCAGGAACTTTTTCTGTGCTTGTCAAAAAGCCATAACATATATAACACTTTATTTCTTTTGGCTTTTATCACGTCTATCAGTCACAGAGACAGAAAAGAAGTAAGATGGAAGGACTGACACCAATAACTTAATGGTAAGAAGCTCCAACCCTGTGCACTTCTCAGAACATGAAGCACACACCAGCTATGCAGCTAAGAGTCAGCAGATGTTACTTTCCAAACTCAGTATTGCTCAGTAATGCATCCTCCTACTCTAGCAGGCACTCCGTGCTGCAGGGAGCACGAGAAAGGGGCAGAAACTCTGTGTTACCTCCACAGGAGTGGAGCACCAAAGGGTTAGAATATGATCAACACACTAAAAGGAAACCCAAATATTCACAGCTTTTTTCTGTCTACATCCAATTACAATCTATGAAATCATTCTTATCAAAGCATTTTCCTTAATCACAATAATGTGACTCATTTTCTATCACAGAACATTCATACATCCCAATCCCAAGCAACCATCATGATTTACAAGTGGTTTTATTGCTTGCCCTTTCCACAGGCCCCAGCAAACTACATCCTTGGCCACAACAGTCATACCATGTACTCAGAAAATAGAATCCACATGGATAAATTCAAGCACAACTTATGTCCTTACAGAAAAATAGCAGTATAACACAATGCAGATCACGTTCTGAGTATCTTTGACACTTCTGTTCAATCCCACCTCCTTTTTCCATCACCAATGCCATGAAAATAGCAATGGTTAGATATTAGGAGGAAGTTTTTCACGCAGGTTGGTGATGCACTGGAACAGGTTGCCCAAGGAGGCTGTGGATGCCCCATGCCTGGAGGCATTCAAGGCCAGGCTGGATGTGGCTCTGGGCAGCCTGGTCTGGTGGTTGGCAACCCTGCACATAGCAGGGGGTTGGAACTGGATGAGCACTGTGGTCCTTTTCAACCCAGGCCATTCTCTGAGTCCATGAAAACTTAAGTTACTTGTTACAAAGACATGAACCATCACCAAACTAGTCCTACAGCCCCTTAGAAAACACAGCCCCCTTTCAGGTTTATGCTACACAGAGCTGCTCTCTGCAGGACTGCCTGCCCATCTCGTTTTCCCATTATCCTGCAAGACTGGTACACAGGTACAGCAATATTCAACAGCCTGATTTTACAAGCATGCTGTGCAAGCAAATGCCAGTGAGGCACTTAAAATAGGGTCTCCACTTGGGAAGAGATTGAGTGAGTAAATCTGATGGCGCTGCCAGCCACAATTTAAAGGAGTAGAGACATATTTATCAACTAAAATCAAGACTTCTCCATACACTTTGTTGAAAGCTACTCTGCAAATGACTAAAAATGGCACCATATCTCCTTGTCCAAAGCTACCTTTCTAAAAAGCTACAGAAGTCCACTACATTTTGATTGTGCCTTTAAGTGAAGCTACCAAACAAACAGTTCTCAAATCAAAGTCCTGTCTCACTGGGTCTGTCAGCAGCAGCAGTTCCCACATTGTACAGTCACACACCAAATATTTCCATATTTTTAGCTAATTAAGTTTCCCAATTACTTTTCAATGCCATTCATCTACTTCTGTCATTAGTAACAGTGACTGCTCACATTCAAGCTCCCTTCACAGCAGCAGGTATGTTTCCTGCCCAACAGCACAATCACCTCATTTCCTACAGAACTACATCTAAATTTCCTTCATGTCCCAAACTGTAGTTATTCAGCAAAAGATAAAATACATTTTCTAAATGTTACCAACGCTGGAGGAATAACAATGCAGTACCTGGGGAGCCCAGAACCAGAAGCAGTAATCCAGATGTGTCCTCAGCAGGGCAGAGCAGCAGGGGAGGATCACCTCCTTGACTTGCTGGCCACACTGATGCTAACAATACCCACGATACCATACACATACATGTTTTATCTACTTTCATTGTTTTCATACAACCCTATTTCAGCTCTTATTGCTTCCAAATCTCAGAAGTGAAATAGGTGCTTGCTAAAGCATCGAAGTTTTCTTGCTTTGCCACTAAGGCTTTTAAAAATTGCCATTTGGCATAATATTTGCTTACAGACTCTCTTTCTGCACTTCAGAAGTTTTTAGTTTGCAAGATTTTCACAGCTGTTCCACTGTCATATAAAAACTCCATATAGTTTGGTCTTACCAGTAGTTACAGCTCTTAGCTCAAGAATATTCTGAAAGCTACAGGAAACTCATAAGTGGGAAGAAATAAGGCTGGTAGTCCATCTAATCTTGTCTAGAAATAGCAGAAGCCTGACGTATGAAGCACTCACATTGTAACAGGTCTGTAGGAAAAGTTAAGTGATTCTAATTAAAGGTGGAATATGCATTTGCTTGCACTGTAAAATGAAATACTGACGCCAGAACAGTTCCAGAGTCTGAGTAAATACAAAAAGATGCACCAAAGGTATCTGCCCTTTTATGAAGTAACCATAGGAAGAGGAAAACCAATCAGCTGAAAAGGAATTAAAAAAAAAAAAGTTCAATTTCCTAAATAAATTAATACAGTCATAATTTTGTGATCCTTTTCCTTTATAGCTACTTTCAATAATCCAATTTAGAAGCACCACCACCTTTCCAGAACTTCTTATATATAAAGGAGCATACTTCAGTTTCCAAAAAACAATGGGTAGTGTGTTATTTTCAGAGGAGAGAACTCTGACAATCTTACTTAAAATTCAGGTTGGGTACTGCTAAACTCCACAACTGAAGTTCAGAGTTAGGGCTTGACAGGTAGGTGACAACACATACATGTATTTGCAGTTATTTTGAAATGACTGCATATGGAATTTTCAGACATTCATAGACATCATAGAAGTGTGCTCACATCATCTCTAGGATTAAAACCTCTTTTTTCTGTAAAGAATAATTTCTTCTACTACACTTTACTACACAGTACCACCTCTACTTCAAATAAAAGGCACACAAACTAGATGACCAAAACATAGAATCACAGAATGGCTTGAGTTGGAAGGGACCTCAAAGATCATGAAGCTCCAACCACCCACCGCAGGCAGAGTTCCCAACCTCCCAGTTTAATACTAGACCAGGCTGCCCAGGGCCACATCCAACCTGGCCTTGAACACCTCCAGGGACAGGGCATCCATCTCATCCCATATTAAATTAAGCATTGTAGTTTCCTTTATTCATGCAAACTACCAATGGCAGTTGCATTTCAAGACATTCAACCTTCACAACCCAAATTTCATCTGCCATTTCTCACAGCCACAGGATAAATGGCAGCTTCCAGCTAACCTTGGATCACTCAGAGCTTTCCTCTCCCAACTCCATGCTCTTCCTAACAAATTTCGTGTTGATAGCTGGCATCATTTTATAAGCAAAAACCTCTGCTCTCTTTATCATTACATTTCTTTCAGTTTGGATTATTTCAGCTCTTTGAGACATTCAGTCTGCCCCCCTCCCTCCACCTCCCATTATCCTATTACTCCTTCATGTTAACAAATAAATAAATAAGGAACAGATCTTTGGCAAAAAGATTTTTTCACTATAGCCTCCTATACTGAGGCTGCAAAGGATATTACCTCAAATGGAGAACACTTCAGGATTTGAAGGGAAAAAAGCAACTAAACTGTCAGATGACCAAAACAAGAAATAGTATTATATAATACAGAAAATCCATTAACATGAACTGTACCTGCTTTTCCTTTCGATGAGAATAGCCATATAAGAAGCTGGTAAAGCAGCACCAAAGCCAGGAGACCAAAAGTAGAATTTTCCAAGCAGTTTCCTGAAAATGTAATTTATACATGTGTTACATGCAAAGCAACCACAATATTGATGTACATTTATTTTAAAAGATCGTATTTTACATTCATCAGTGCTTACAGATAAATACTAACTATTGCTTACAGTTGAATAGTTCTTCTCAAAGGGGTTCCCAGAGAGGATACTCTCTCTCTTAACATTACACACCTAAAACTTCATGAGTGCATCCATCTTAATTAAAGGATTACTTTAATTTAAGGAAAGCAATACTTCCAAGAGACGTTTCTGAAAAGCTGCAGGTACTAATTCCAACCTTGCAGCTCCTTTCTCTGCTATTTGTCTGCACACATCTCCTCAGGATGATGTGCCTTGTGGAATGTGGGAATGCAGTCCAGTGAGAAATCAAATCAAATTGTTCTACTATACAACGTGCTCTGAAGACAGATAGGCAAACTGTTGCTAAAAACAGTAAATCACTCACGTATGGTAAGTCAAGGAATTAATTACAGCTGGAACCAAGAGAGAAATCCCAGATCTACTAAGGCCAGTAGGAAAGCTCTCACTTTTTGCAACCAGATCTGGCTTTCACTCAGAGTTCACACTATTTCAGCCATAAAAACTCTTCCAAGAGCTGAAAGAAAAAGTTCTTCAAATACAGACATCGTCTAGGAAGATATTTCTATAAATTGGTTGCTGAGAGAATAGGAGGACCAAAACGCTTGTCACAGACAGTGGCCTCCACCACCTGATCTGCTCCAAACACCTGCACCTTCCAACTGACTTGGGCTGAGCACAGAAGCAAGCAACAGTCAGCCAGTCCTGAAATTTGATAAGGAATACACTTCAGTTACACTGTGGCTGATAAGCACTATTATTTGAGGAAAATACAGTGGGGTCTTCCCTTCTAAAAATAAAGCAAAATACAAACATGATTTTCTTATATGAAATTTCACATTGATAGAGAGAACTAAGATTATTCATCACTTCCACCTGGGTTAGATCACTTTCATTCTTGCTGCAGATCAGCCTCATTTCATACTTCTGCTGCTAAAATAACATGAGCAGTGAGCAATGCCAGCTTACATTCAGAAGAGAAAAAAAAGTCAGTGTATCACCAAAACCAGTGATGTAATGAAAATTTCACACACTACTCATTCCCATGGCTGAAAAAGGATGATTCCTCTGGAGGACAATGCCAAAGGCTGCAGTAGCTAAAGTTCATTATTAGGACTCTCTTGGAAAGCATTGACTGTATGAAGTTTCAGAGAAGCCATCTGAAGCATCCTAATAAGTATGAACACATCCTACCAGACACATCTGTTAAATAACAGAACAAATGCCTTTTCTGTGGGGAAAAAAAAAAACAGGAACTTGCTCTGCTTGCATGGATTAGAATCATTCCATGAATGCTACACGTTTTCAAGGCCAGGCTGGATGTGGCTCTGGGCAGCCTGGTCTGCTGGTTGGCGATCCTGCACATAGCAGGGGGGTTGAAATTAGATGACCATTGTGGTCCTTTTCAACCCAGGCCATTCTATCACTCTATGCTCAGTGTGATGAGATTTAGGTAAAAGCAGTATTTTACACAACAAAAGTCACTGAAAATTTAGATGTTCAATCATAAAGTGGAAAATTTAAAGTTCTGCTGGAATAAACAAAAGCAAAATTTTATTATTATTGATATGTTTGTTTTTACATAGTTCTTACACAGTCTGAGGCTGCATAATGGAATGAGAAGCCTGTGTTCTCTTCCTAATTATTCATCTAATTTCTCATTGTGAAACTGTACCCAAAGCTGAAAGGCTGGTTGATACACACAACTGAATTGAACCAAGCAAATTAATGGAAATCTGTATGTACACAAACTGAATGACTCTAGCTGCAAGGCTAACTGAGCCACAACTTCATGAGGTTCTGCATTAATTTAGTAGAACTGAAAACCTAAAACTCACACCCATCTTTTAACTGTTGTAATGCCTGTCAGTGGAGGAGCTTAGGACTTCTTTCTGAAGCACAGACAGATGTAGTCTAACTGCATCACCTCAGCAAACAGATTACAGCCACAGCTGAGCTGTCACACATCCGTAACATGGATCACCACCTCCACAGCTCTGCCAATAGAGCAGGCTGCACACATTCACTATTTCACTTCAAGAATGAAAACAAATTTAAAAAGCAGCCAACTTCACTTAGTGATGCCTTTTAGAATGAGAAATCCTACCCAGAGCACACGTCACTGCTGAAACTGAACTTGGATTGTTATGAAATTTTACTCATTAATGAAAAGGAGAGAATATTCAACAATTACTGAAATCATTCAAATTGCATTTTCTTGTCTAAAATATTACACCCTCAGATGTATTTGCAGTTTTTGCAAGTTTTCCTCAGTGGAAAGAAAGGAAATAATACAAGAACATCAAAACCACACATTAGCACAAGTCAAACATCCCACTGACAATTACATTTCATATTTAGGTCTTTCAATTGCTACTGGGAGAATAAAAGGTATTTTCTACAGAATATAGTATAAAACAGCGTGAAGGATCACTGAGACTTCAGTATATGTACAAAAAAATGAAGTGGTCGCTTTATCCAGGAGATCCTTAACATGCCTACCAACACATTGCCAGGTGCTACAATATAAGGAAATACACAACTCTTTATCAGAGCAAGAATTGTGCAGGTAAATGAGTTAACATGTCCAGCTACAAACCCTTTAACCTGCTGCTCTACTCTAGAATTCCAAGAGCTGACTGCATGGGGACTGCTGGACAACTCTGCCTCTTTGTCACTGCTGCTCCTGCTTTCTAGAAACTCTCCTATTCAAGCACAGAGTCTGCAGGAAATGCTGCATCAGCTCAGAGCTCTGGGAACCTCAGATGTCAATAGAACAAACACACCTCCTTACAGACTTGAACTTTTTGGGTAAGACAAAAAAAAAAAAAAAAAAAAGCCACAACAAACCTTGCAGCTAAAAAGACAGAAAAATGATACACATCCCATTTCATCTCTTACCATTATCCAGAGTCAGACCTAAAGGATCTGGTCTCTAAAGTCTTTTTATGAAAGGTCATAGCTTGACTTCAGAAACACTCAGGCAGCAGTTAAACAACGTATCTATGGTGTTCTGCTATTTCTTTGATGGATTCAAACATACAGATTTCTTTACTATGAGAGTGGTGAGGTGCTGGAACATCTCCCTGGAGAGGCTGTGGATGCCCCATCCCTGGAGGTGTTCAAGGCCAGGTTGGATGGGGCCCTGGGCAGCCTGGTCTGGTATTAAATGTGGAGGTTGGTGGGCCTGGCTGTGGCAGGGAGGTTGGAGCTTCATGATCCTTGAGGTCCCTTCCAACCCAGGCCATTCTGTGATGCAGTACCAAATGGCATTCTGCACTGGAAAATGAAATTGTTGTTTTCTCTCTGAGATGCTACTGCAGGAAGTTCAACATTTCCCACGTCGCACAGTGATTAACTCAAAGAATCAGGAGTTCAAACAAATACTTCAAATAAAATAACCACCTCACGTGAAGTAGTACCAAAAAAGCAGTGAAGTTGCAATTGCACCTCTCCACCCTGTCATCCTGCCATTAGATTAGAGAAGGAAGCTTACACGGCTTAAGTTGCAAGACAACTTAATACTAAGCAAAATCCAAGTGATTAATTTATCAACATTAGGAGCCCAGAAGTAGCTCTTTATAAAGGTATACAGCACAAAGTTTTAAAAAATATCATGTATTTAATACTGCTCATTGGTTTGTTCCCACTGGTTTCTCTCTTCATAAGAATTGTTTTCTTGATCATACTCAACTTGTCCAGCTGACTTGTTCACAGAACCTATCCTTGATGACTCCCAAGCATCTCCTTGATTACCCCAATTTAAATCCCATCCCTGTGTGAATAGGATAGAATTGCTCTCTTCCTCCCAGTTGATTATTTTGCACTTTATCAAGCTTCATATTTTTCCCCTAAAAATCAAGAGATTTTTCTGAAATGGCTGACTATAAGTTTTGTATTTTCTTATCATAAATAATCTTGCATAATCCCACAGTAAATTCTTTTTTCCAGATGCTGTAGCTATATATAGAACAAGTTACATTGCAGGAACATTACTGGCAACTTCTCCTAATTAGGAAAACTGATAATTTATCCCTTTTTTCCCCCCAATACACTTTAACTACATGATTTACTAATTCCTAGAAGATAGGAAACCATTCCCCTTTAACAATCCTAGAAAGTAATCTTGCCAATTTCAATTCCAGTTGCAATTCGTAATGCTACACTGATCACTAAATCATCACCAAACACAGGCTTGCTCTACAAAGAACAGCAGTTACATTATCAGAAAAATTATGCTTTCCAATCTTGTGACCCACGGTTTGAGAAGTCTGTTTGCATTCAAACATTTCTAGGAGAGAAAAATCAGATTTCCTTAGATAACCCTTACAATTAACCTGCATTTCCTGCACCCATGCATTTGGAATCAGTAACAAATGGAGAAGGAAACCATGTGAATATATTGCCTTGTTTGCTGATTTTAAAAACATTTACATAAGCAAGGGGGGGGGAGAGAGGGGGGAAGGTGCATATTGTGCACAGTCAATTGCAAAAATCAGAAAGCACAGGTGTTGCTGTCTTTCTCCTACCCATTACAAATTGTGTGGTTGTCTTTTTTTTTTTTTAAAGTTATTATTCTATAAGCTAAGAAGTTACATTCCTGTTACATTTAATTTTTAGGACAGTATACCAACCTTAGAATGCAAAAGCAAGCAATATACAAGGTCCCATTTGCTGTCAGAAAGGAAGTTGATTGCAAGATCTCAGGTAGCAGTTTGTGCAAATAATAGTCAAGTTTTCGTTTCCTGAGAATAGCTGCAATCTGAGGGAGGAGGAAGAAAAAAGGGAGGACAAACTTTAATTCAATTAGGTTCTTTCTTGCACATTGTAAAGAAAAAAGAAAAAAGAAAAATGAAAAATGAAATACACCCATTTAAGTAGTAAATCAAATCTCCTTAAATTTGCTGGTTTTACGAACAATACCACAAAGATTTCCTTTAAACTTGTTCCAGATATTACAGTGTTTATACCAGGAAATATGCCACATAAGCCTCAGTGGAAACTGTGAGAGAGGTTTTACTACCTTGTTACCATTGGCCATAATAGTCAGAAAGGTTGTCTGCCAGATAGCAGAACTTTAAGATGTAATAAACTCACAAAGATTTGTCTTTCAGGCAATTGGAGCACCTCATAACAAAGGCCAGCATACCACTAAGCAATGCACTAAGCGATCCAGATATGGCCCCTACACTGTGCCTACAAAGTGCTGATGCATTTCTAAAGGTTTCTAATCGTACCAAACAACTCCAAGTCCTCCAAAACTTTTTCACCATTTGCTAAAAGAAGAACACATTCTTGAGAAATTGTATAGAAACACTACGTGAAAACATCATGTTACGTATGCCTGAAGTAGAAACCAGGTTGGATCTGAAAAACAAGTGCTCTCTTAGTCAGTTGAATTTATGTTATGAAGAACTGTTAGATGAAGGCTCAAATATAACATGTCCTCAAAATCCTTCTTGTCTACTGAAATCTTGCAATTATTAGAACAAGGAGCCAGATTTTTCTCAGAAGAGCACAGCTAAGATGAAAGGCAACAGACAATTCAAATACTGGACACTCAGGTTAGACAAGATAAAAAATATTACCCTTTGAGGTGGCTGAATATCTGAACGGACTGCCCTAAAAGGTTGTGGACTCTCCAACACCAGAGATCCTCTAAAGCTCAGACCAGGAAATGCCCCACACACACCTATCCGACTTGTCCTGCCTTGAGCACGAGGCTGGAACCACGTGGCCTCCAAATCTCCATGGTTCCATGAACTTAGAATGCACTGACAGACAGATTTTTGTTTTTAATAGCATCATCATGTTCATCTGCACTGGTTTCTCAAGGACTCTCAAAATAGTCAGAGCTTTCAACCAACGCTTACAGTCGGAAAACTGCAGACAGAAAGAGCTTAAAACTACAAGTGCTGATGAGAACAGCAGGCAGCCTGTTGGTCAGTAGCACCTCTTGAGGACTTGGTTTCTCAATTCAAAGACACGGGGGAAGGAATTGTTCTTCTCAAAACCAGCCCACTTGCACTGAACAGCAAGGTGTTTTAGATACAGAGATAAAATGAGGCTTTTATCTGGATGAGAACCTACGAGATACGGTCTAGTGGCTTGTGGGAGCAAGGGTAATGGGAGGACAGCTGAACTAGATGATCTTGCAGGTCCCTTCCAAACTTGTGATTCTATGATTCTGCTGTAAGTAACCATAAGAGAGCTCTGCCAAAACAAGTGCCCAAAACAAAGCCTGAATTAAGGAGAAACATATGCACAAACAGACTTCTGAAAATAGATTAACGCACCACTTCATCACATGTCAAGACTGCTTAAGCCATAATAGATTAGGCAACAGTGCAATCCAGATAATCTTTCTGTTACAAAGTCTTAATGCAGGCTAAACACCAGATTACTCGTTGCCACCTCCTCAGCTATTTCCAGTCTACTGTACAAAGGTTGTGAACATGTGGAACAGAAGAATTTTTTTCTTTTTAAAGAACACAACCTTTGAGCTGAAGCGTAAAGTCTTGTTTCCTCCGAAGAAGCATTTTATACTTTTATATCTCTTTTAAATACACAAAATTTTGAAAATATTGGTATTGTTATAAAGCAGTGTCAAATCAAAAGCTAATGGTTAATTCTGTAGCATCTCCAATAAGTTTTACACTAGTTTTTCACTTTCCCTTCTCCTTACTACTCAACTCAAGGGCAGAAAAGAATCAGGAACACCACCACACAGGTCAGGCTGAGGAAACACTGCTTATGATAACTGAAGGAGCTGCACATGTAAAAGCAATATGGCTTGAGGCATGCACATCAAAAACAGATAATGCCCATCATCTCCACAGTGTTTTACAGACATCAACTAAGCTAAATACCATGTACAGCCAAAACCTGACAAAAGCAGGTTACACAGCAAGTTCCTCCCCTTCACCCCACCACCTATGGTGTGATTACGTGGAATGAACACCAGTAATACTTCCAGACTCCACCTTGTATTCCCTTCCAGCCCTCCACAGTTACAGAAAGTACTCTTACAGTTGAAATAGGCAAGAGAGATTCTGAAACATGTCAGCCCATGGCATTTCTTCATTCCCATAGGGATAAACCCCATCCAGGTGAGTTGGGAGGTCACTGTGATGAAGGCCAAATGCTTTGTGACAAACGCTCTGCTCAAGGCTTAGCACCAGACAGTAGCAACAGACACCAGCATGGAAGGAAAGGGCCATGAGGAAACCCAGTAGCTACCTCCTTGGCAAGCTTTAATGTCCATGAAGAGAGTGCTAACAGTCAGAGCACAAGGTTACATGGCAACCTGTGCTGTGTGAGGCACCCTGCAGAGTCAGATCCAAGAAACAGCTGTCTCATTGAAAACACGCTCACAGATCTCCAGAACTATGGGAGGAAACCTCATTGCAGTCCAGTACAGGAGGGAGACTTATTTTTTACATCGTCTGTTAGTAATATGACAACAGGGAATAGTTTTAAACTAAAAGAAGTTAGGAATAAATTTTACACTCGGGGGCAGTGAGGCCTTGGCACTGCTCCCCAAAGAGCTCTGAGTGCCCCAGCCCTGGAGGTGCTCAAGGCCAGGTTGGATGGGGCCTGGGCAGCCTGAGCTGCTGGGGAGCAACCAGCCCATGGTAGGAGGTTGGGTGGACTTTTAGATCCCTTCCAACTCAATTTGGAGATTCTATATAAAAGGAGCAGATGAATCCTCAGATTCCTTGACTTGGGTATCTAAGGGAGGTCTGCATCATGACCTTAATGCTGACAGATAAAGTTTGGGATGTTACTCACTATAAGAATGAAGGACTGCAATTCTGAGTCAAGTGACTGTTCCAAACAGTTCACTATCACGTATCCAAGAGTTGCCTGAAGCAGCTCCCTGCCTCCCAGTGCTCTTCTCTCCTCTCTACAGTTTCTCAGCTACATTCTTTTCTTTTTAAGACAGAGAAGTAGAAAAATTCTTCAATGCTTAGAAAACACTGCAGATTTCCAGCATAAGTAAGAAAGCATGGAGTGAAGAAAAGCTGTATTAGAAAATGCCATGAATGTTTGCCACTGCATGAAACCCTGACACTATATTCCTTCCCTTCGATTTCACACTGCTTGTGCTGCCCCACCTCTCCTCCTAGCCACAGTTTACCTGCAATCCAGGGCATGGAAGAATGCACCCCTCATAGCACTACAAGATCATGATTTCATGGAACAAAAAAGATAACAAAATAACCCTTTGCAACACAGTATCACCTTTTCTTTTGTTCCTCTGAAAAATATCAGTAAGAGTGTGGAATAGTTTCACAGATGCTAACAAATAACCCTGACTGTGCTGCTTTCTGACCAGCAGGCACAAGGCAGCTTGTGCTTCTCATCTGCCCACATGCTAAATATCATCCATTTAAAAACGAGTGACAAAGCTGTAAAATCAAAATGTTACCCAGCATACACATCTCTCTAAGGAGGAGATTAGAAAGGGAACAGAAGACCTAACAAAACCAATGCTCACCATATAGCTGATGTTCTATCAATCTCTACTATACAAACCAGTATGGATGTTATTCACATGAAGCCCCTGTTAGGTAACTGCACTTTCTCAAGCAGATTTGCTCTCTGCAGATAAAGAATACTCAAGTTTAAAGTACTTAGTATTAAAGATGTCTTTATTCATCAAGAAAATTCCAGCCCACGTAAGAACTTAGCATTTGTGTCATGGCAGAACATAATTTCTTTCAATTTAATTTACAGAATTCAGAGACACCTGGAAAATAATAAAAGAAACTCAATGCCAGAACTGGCATTGCCTTCTCAGCACAACTTAAGTGTTCTTATGCTATGAGAGAAACTTCACACCGTAGGACAGCCTGCAGATGCAGTCCTATCTGGTCTGTGCAAGCATCTAACAGCACTCACTGCCCAGGGCCCTTACTAGCAGCTGGGCTGCATGCTGGCACAGCTCTAGAGATGGCATACACAGCTCAGCTTTCCCAACAGTTTTGCACTCTCAGCTTCTAAAGTAGCCCAGCAGTGAATCTCATCTGTCTCAGTCCCCTATAAGAAGCACTCTTCTAGATGCACAAACAACAACCAAGAGCAAAAAGGAATTTAAAACAAGTCCTGCACTGTCACAGGGAAGATGTCCAGAGCTTTCAGAACTTTGCAGTTTCCCTCTTTGCATCCACATATTATGGCTCTTGATCTCCTTTCAGATCAACACAGTCCACAGAAAATACAGATATTTCCAGATTACAATCAGGAAACATATGGGAATCTGGGTGAAACTTTGATCACAGCACTTCAGACCTCAGACAGCTAAACTTGTGCATTCACAGTAAGACAAGTAACACCCACAGAGCAGTAACAAGTCAGTGTGATGAAATACGCCTGTATTCCTGATTCCTGTCGTGTGCCACTTCTGCCCTACAGCCATGTGCTGAAAGAAGGCTGGGGCAAAACCAGACCTGTCAGGCTGACTTCCAGGGAAAACATTCCTGGTCCCAAATAAGACAATTAGTTTGATACTATGCATGTCATCAGCTCAATAAGTTGAGTCACCATCCCTGAACGTGTTTAAAAACCATTTGGATGTGGTGCTTGGGGACATGACTTAGCGGAGGGTTGTTAGTTAGGGTAGTATGCTGAGGTTGTGGTTGGACTTGATGGTCTTTTCCAACCTGAGCAATTCTATGATTCTATGGACTACAGGCAGCACCAGCTTGACTCAATGCATGTGCTGATCGACATACACACACTGATGGATTCTGTGGCAGG